ATAACATTTAGTAGCCTTAAAGTAATAATAAGTGCAAAGTTGCATTTGTAAGCGATGAATTTAGTATTATAAATAAAACCGAAATGGCCCTTAAAAGAGACAGTGCTCTTCTTGCTTTATTAAATAATAAGTCTTGAATATCTTATATCACCCTTAATAAACACTAACACCATTATCAACCCTGTAAACCCCCATAACATCGCTGTTTGTTCAAGTTCTTGTTCACTTGACTTACCCTACTGACTATCATTGAATCCAAGTAACCGAAAGCCTTAATCGCCCACCAGTCAAATCTAACATCCTCTTTCGAAAAGGTTACATATCGTATGTTATGTGAGATATTGAATTGTGGAGCAATCTTCCGAACCCAACAATATTGAACCATCAGAACTATAAATTTGATTTAAGTTTAAACCATAAAGGGGTGGGTCAGTCAAAGGTTTGTGACCGACCGGTTAAAATTCTGACCGATACAATTTTAGCGATGTTCATTGATTCATTACAATGTGTTATGTGCCACTTGTGAACAGAGTCACAAGGTGGCAATTTATCATGAGTCAGTCACATGATGCATGCAGGGATCATTATTGGATAGAATGTAAATGTGGACTTTAAATAAGCATATAAGTAGGTTCAGCCATTAGTGTGTGTTTTTCTGCTTTGTTTTTCTGCTCGACAGTATTGTCTGGCAAAGTCACCCGCACAAGTGTTGTCATACTTTTATAATGATAATAAATGCGTAAATTTTTACCTTATAAAGTGCTCTTTTGAGCTATCAATAAATTGCTTTGAGTGTTGCAAACATGTCGCGTAAAAACTCACCACCAGCAGAGGAAGATACTATTATGTTGGATGATACGGATAGAGAGAGTGTAGTTGGCCCAGAAGTGGGACCTTTAGGAGTAAATTGGAGTAAGCTCAGACTAGTTGATTTGCGAGCTATGTGTAAAAGGTGCAACCTACCTTCTGAGGGCACCAAAACAGAGTTAGTTGAAAGGCTAGAAGATTTCTGGAACGAGTCAGAAGAAGTAGAAAAACTACAAAAGGGTAAGCAGAAGTTGGTAGATGAGGGTGGCAACAAAGAAAGTGTTCAACCAAGTAGCTCCGAATGGCAAGAGTATGATATTTTGAGGTTCATGAAAAACAGACTAGAGGAGAAAATTGAGTCTAAATTTGAGAGTGCAGTGATGGCAGTTCTGGAAAGGAACCTTCAACAATTTGCATCACAGTTTAGAAACCTTCAAGAAGTATCAGTGGAGACTAAGTTCCCGGAAAAGAAATTTAAAAGAATAAGGAACCAACACGAATATGATTTTGTTTGTCAAGTTGGCAAGCTACTCACTAAAGCTATTCAGGAGGAACCGATAGAGAGGATACATGAGGCCTTTAACGTAGTAAAAATAAGGGCCTTTACATTAAGAACTGCAGAAGACAAAGGCTGAAGTGTTGCAGCAAATATCCCAAAGCCTGCACCAACAGAAAAAGATGAGCTTCATGAGTTGTTGATAGAGGCAAGAAAACAGGCGAAGCCAAAGGAACATAAACCTTTCCAGAGTTTCAAGAATAGTTACAATAGGGGGGGTTATTTATCTAAAGGGCCTAGTTCACAACATTTTACACCATACCTCCAAGTACAAGATTTATGACAAGGTCAGTGCCAACAGGCTTATCAGGAGCATTAGAACCAAGCCTCTTTTACAAACTCAGGACCTTCATTCATGTTAGCCAACAAAAGAAGAGTCAGTTAGTATGTAATTATTGTGGTGGTATGGGCCACAATGCATCAGCCTGTGCCTCTAAAACAGAAAGCAGTATTAGTAAAGGAGGATTTTTTCGTAAGGGTCTAGGAAGCAGAGAAGACAAATCCTGACTACACTCAGGGGAAATTCAGATAAAAAGGATGCTACAAGTGGAAAATTGGACAGAGAAAAGGAAGCTGGACTTAGAGAGGATAGTCA